GAGAAAATTACAATTAATCATTCTATGTTATTGGAAGACAGAACCGTTTCATGGGAGCAACTGATCGAAAGGGGGAGAAATGTTTCCTTCCTATCTTAGTACAAGTTTTACTATTCTGTTCGACTTGTTGAGTAATAGGGGCTACTTTATCTGGTCTAAGGTCCTTACATAGTCTGCCCTTTCATTACATGTAGTTCATTATACCTTAGTATCACTGCGAAATACGAATGAATTTTAAAGTGTTGACTTTTGTATTTTTATTCAATATAAGAAAACACCGGCTAGTATATTCGTTCACCATTCCGACACTTTCAACCTCGTAATTGATAAAAAATGATAATAAAAGTTCCCGGTGGAAATGCGCGCGTGGTGACCGGGCATATGATGAAACGAGGTCGAATTTGGAAATCTTCCAAATGAGCGTGCAATTAAGTTGCAGATGGGAAAGTTTTATTCAATGAAGACTAAAGGTCGGGGCTAATGCGACCTGTGTTCTACAACGATTTGGGTGGGTGGGGAAGGACGGACAAAGATCTGCTTCATTTAGGGGAGTAATTTGAAAGACTCTCGCAACAAATGGGGGCATTAAGAAATCGTCTCGAGAACCGGTCGCATTTTAAAATGTTTACTTTTCTATGCACTAAGTTGAAGGCTGATTAATACAAGTAATAACCACGGTATTTGGCGTGACATGAACAGCAATTAAGGGAATGATCATCTTCCATATGTGTAATTTCCTCAAACAGCGCTGATGAGTTGATCTTCGTAATGGTGTAGAGCTGTTTTCTTTGCGGTACGGACTGAATTATAGAATTATATTTAGACGAGCCTCGGCTTCAAAGGATTAATGGACTCTGAGACGTCTGGTGGATTTTTTAAATAGCTTAAAACGTAAACTAATAATACCATTAACAACATTAACGACTTATGGAAAAAAAAACGTTAGTTACACTATGCGTTAGGGCAAAGAACTGAATTAGCTTGTTTCTCCCTTCATTTTATAATTTTACAAATATCAGGTAAAGTAGGTAACGTAAATGTCTTTGTTACAGACCATATTCACGAAAAATGCACTTTCACTGTATGACCCGAGTAAAAGTCACGGAAAATAGCCTATTTTACTTGAGATAGTATAGCTGCGTCATATTGTGATATTAATTAAAATAATTATTATATTTGTTTACCGTCAAATCACAATAAAATAGTAAGATAAGATAATTAAAATGATTAAAATATCATTCTATCGCTGGGTAATTACACCACGGAAAATAGAAAATAATTATTATATTTGTTTACCGTCAAATCACAATAAAATAGTAAGATACGATAATTAAAATGATTAAAATATCATCTTATGTTCGTTATTGACTTAAGTCAATAACGAACATAAGATGATATTTTAATCATTTTAATTATCGTATCTTACTATTTTATTGTGATTTGACGGTAAACAAATATAATAATTATTTTCTATTTTCCGTGGTGTAATTACCCAGCGATAGAGATCATAAGCTCATCATTATTCGTAGCCGTGAGAACCTGAAATCTCACCTGCATAGAACTCCTTTACTCCTCAGTCTAGATAGTGACCTTGAAAGAAAATCTGGCTTAGTTCCGACAGTGACAAAGCCATAACGCCAAGCAAACAATTTAAGTCCGAACCCTTAACTACTTGGACAGGTTCCAGAATCTTTTTCACACCGTAATTTTCCGAAAAAGCAGAGATAAAAGGTGACAAAACCCATTGTCTCTTCTTTGGAAGGCTAACTGCACGACGTATTACAAACTGTAATATCAGGGCACTGCAAAGTTTAGGGAGGTTTTGCGTCTTCACTGAACCGGGAGCAGATGCAATTTGTAATGCAGTAATTTAATTCGAATGCAGATGGCTGTTCCATGGCGTTGCTGTCTAACAAAATTTAGGAGGAACATACTGCCACCATCGTCAGGGCTGAAGTATTGGGTATTTTATATTGCTAGTTCCTTATCTTCTATTAAACAAGGGTTTGATCTCTTGGTCCTGATTTCGAATTGCGGTTATCGTGAGGAGGGCTTCGTGGTTTTTATCAGTAACCAAAGGTGAATTATCGGCCACTGCCTTAAAATATGTCACGACCACTCCCCTTCCAGTATTTTCGAGTTCATAATTGATTGTAATTATCCTGTTCTACATTAATTCCTACGAAACTTAAGAGGTGTAACGCAATTTGTACATCGTCTGATGTTATAAAAGACACAACGTTTCGAGGACTGGACGCCTTCTTCTGGTGTAGTGAAGAGGAATGACACCTCTGTGGGGTCCGTTAGACAATCACTGTCTAGTGACAAGGTCCAAAAATGTAACAATCGAGAATGAGAAAATTTTATGTCAATTTAACAGTTTTTCTCGATTGAGGAATATTAGATGCTTTGTAAGACGTTAATGATTCAAAATTCAAAGCTTCTGATAACAATCAGAAGACAGAGGGATATTGTCTTGCTTCTTTAGATTAACTGCTCTCTATAATATACGACCAACTTAAAACAATGACTAAAAACATTACATTAATTACTGTATCAATTTTACGAATCATATCGTGATTATTAGGTAGTATACAGGATTTAGAAGTTCTGTCATACGCAATTTAATTTTTTTTAAAAAAAAAATTACTGTGAGTAAAATATTTTGTGTATCACGGAAATTCTATCTTCTGTTCATTACTTTTATATTAAAGTGTCTTAAATGCTTAGTGTTAACTTGAAGAAACTGTTAAAATGTTACGTTACTTTTAAATAAGAATGTCTCACATTACTTACCTCTTAATCCCAGGCCAGTATTTGTTTCTGATGTTCCGAGGGCTGATAGATTGTCTTAATGTGCAGTGTTTAAGCCTGCTCTCCACTGCTTTAAGTAGGGTCCACGAGAGCCCATCTGAGTCCCAGTTCACCTTGTCGCAAATATTAACAATAACAATATAGGACGTGCACTTCTTACAGAATCAAAATTTGACGTAATAACGTACTCGGATGGGCACAGATGTTAAATAAAGAATGAATAATTTCAGGCTTTGTGCTAGGCGATTATCCTCCTTTTCTGCCGAAATTTTCGATATCCTGTCTGCAACATTAAAGGGGTATGCCCTCGGTTAACATAATTATGCTCTAAATCAATATGCAGAAATAAGATCACGTTGAACATATTTAGCATTAAAGAAAATTCTTACCTTTTACATTTCTTCCATATTAATAGATGATCTCTGGTGTTAATCAGACTTCCTTCGTCTTTATACACTAGAGCAGGGATTCTCACTCTTTTTCGCTGGCGTAACACTAATTCCAATTTAACACATTAAATGTACCACTAACCAAATGAATTTAAGGAAAAATTATTTATGTTAATATTATCTTTTGATTTTATTACTTAGTTCGAGTACCATAGGTTGAGAAACGTTGCTTTAGAATATATGAAATGTTATACTTACTGTGAGCTTGGAGTAAGGTTGTGCGTCGGAGAAGCGAGGGTTTTTTTTTGGGGGGGGGCAGAGTGAGTGATGCTGTTAGTTTACGTTGTGAATAAAATATAGACATTTATTCATAATTGTTTAAATGGGGGAAAATACAATGAATGTCTTAATTAGTGGAAAAATGGTGCAATGCGTGTGGAATTTTGAGATAGTACATAAAGAAACACACGTATACAATCGGATTCAGTGACGGCCATGATTAGCTTGTTAACCGGGGGACGCATTCCAGTGGCAGCAAAAAGACAATCACGTTTTTTGAGCACAGAGCAAACTTGAAGGCCCTCTCGAAGTTGCTTCGCCAAGGCTGAGAAGTCGACGTGGAAACCAGAAGTGGCTGTTAATGTCGACGACACTACAATGTCTGTCCCCCCGCAAATGCGCCCTGGGTTAAGAAAAGGCCTGTCACTGAATGCGATATTTCTCACCAAAATGCATACAGTATTTATCACCCCTTCCCTCTTCATATGATTGTAGATCAGCATCCAGCACAGCCGAAAGGAATTAAATGAAAAAGTGGGGTTATGTTATCTGAAAAATTTGGCGGGGGTACGTTAGTTAATTTAATGCCAGTCGCCTCAGGGTCAAAGAACACCCAAGTGAACGAGTAATCACTAAAAAAAAACACTACGAAGTATTCAAATTTTCACGCTTGAAGTAACAGATCTGTAACGAAGGGAAAAGATGAGATCGACAATCTTCAGTAATTGGAATTTTCTTTCATTTTTATAGTCTGCAAAAACCAAGTCCGAAATGTGTCATATGAGAAGCTATACATTCATAGTTATTGGTATTAAGTTTCATTGTCTTCTGCTCGCCTCATTTCTGTTGGAAAAAGCTGTCTTGTGGTGGTGGGGGTTAGTAAGGCGTGTCCATGCGCATCTAATGTGACGCACAGCGTTATCAACTTCCAACGTACGCACGAAAAATCCCCTAAATGAAAAACCGATTTCAATAAAATTTGATATTTGAGCATTTAAAAACGTAGAACCATTTTAATATCTATTTTGTTGTGGCAACTTAAGCTTCTACTACTAAATCTTAGAAGACAGCCATCTTTAAAACCACGACCGTGAGAACCTAAATTTTCACCAGCGTGAACGAATTTATTTTGCTTACGTGAATGAATGTAGAAGAAAAGCCTAGCGTATGACCCGTAAAAACTGACGGGAACATTTTTTTTTGTTCAAAAGTAATTTACTGCAGAATTATCTTTGGAAATCGCTTTAGAAGCACGAAATTTATATAATTTCTTTCAAAAGCTAATCAAATCCGAAAACGTTTTTAAGGCGACTGAAGTCAGATTCCTGTCAAACTCAGTGTCCGCCAGACAACACCACAGACTTCTTTGCGTTTCTTACTACCAGAGTCTCGACCGTCAGAACGAAATTTTGACTTTTTCTGTACCCCACTCGTTCAGTTCAAGCTTTGGCGGAAATCGGCTCTTATGTTAGGAGGATGTAAGCTGTAAAAATGAGTTTCTACTTACTTGGATAAACATTGATTGTGGAGTTAAGTTATTAAATGTAATCTTTGGGATGACGTCATGTGTAATTCAGTTAAAATTTCGTCTTCTCTTTGGAAACAGCCCGGTTTATCCCACCGTGAGTTGGACAGGTCGTGAAATGACGCCGTTCGCTGCATCGGAACGAGGCGACTGGCTCCTTGTTTAACGATGATGTTTCAGGCATTTACACATCACGCACGTCACAGTTACACCAAGATAAAGAAACGACAAAGAGCTTAATCTGTTCTGCCGGCCGGGCTTTTTGGACACACGATGTCACCCCCAACCCCCCCACGACTACGTATGGAAACCGAATTCTTTATCACAACCAAATTTCCCTACGTTACCCTGACACAGATTTAGATCGGACAGTAGCCCACATTTAATAATAGGCCACCAAAATTGATAATTTCATGTCTTGTCAGTGGTTATGATAGTGGACAAGCACCCATTGAGAACACACTCTCTCTCACACATTCGCAACCAATGTTCATTTGGAAGTAATAAGTAAGCAATATCAGTAATGTTTGCTGACAACAACAAAAAAATTTTACATTATTTACTAAAAACAGGTAATATGCCCAGTTGTCACAGTTTCATCTTTTGTTTTTTGGGTCTCAGAATTGTTAACAGGCGACGTCATATCCACACGCTTCGCCGTCGGTGCGGGAAAGTTCATCCCAAGACTTCTCTGTGCACGAGAAGAATAAAGATTAGTTCTAAATGGCGAAGATATTTTGTTTTTAAGTTTTTTTTAAAATAAATTAATAAATAATTAAAACAGCACGGTGTCTTCTTATGTATAAGTTCTTTTTTAAGTTTTCGTACGTAGACATTTCTGTATTTCTTGAATTCCAGCTTGTGATTACTCCACGAGCGTTGCTAATTTGTAAAGTTCTGACTGAATGCGTGATGATTCTTATCGGGGGCCACTGTATGACAATTCCTTACTTAAACTCATATGTACAAAGAGGGGAAAAAAAAATATTCACGAGTCAATGTGGCAGATGTTTATACTCAGTTACTCCTCACCCTGACAAGCTCTTCGGAACTTTCTCAGTTAGACGTCAGGCACACGTGGATACAGAATCTAATGATGGCGAACAAGGTCACACGTTAACCTCGTGTTAAAATTCGATAGCGCGTCGATGCGAAACATGCTTCATCAGAACCCTTGATGATGTTACCGTGATTTTCCTCTGTTGGATTTTACTTGCATTACACACGTAATACAACATTCAAATCTGAAAATTATAGCTCGTTTAGGAAAAAAAAAAGATTTGAGACAAACGACCTTCTGTGGATGTCAGTCAGTCATACATAGGAAACGATGTGTTAAAAGGCAGTGTAGAATAAAATGTGATTTATCTCCCGATACATCTTTAAAATAAGTATAATTGTTACTTAATCGCTTTGTACAACTTTACGACTGATTCTGGAAATGAAATGACTTTCGCCAAGATTTCGTATATTTGGTTAAATTTGCTACAGTTGAATGATACAAATCTTCAAATTGTAATTGACAGATAAATTTATTAAAATTTTTCTATTGAGGGAAATGCTAGCGATGAAATAATTTAGGTCCACAGTATATTTAAAATTTTTAATAACGTAATTTAGACAATGTAATAAATGACAATGACTTACGTGGGGAAGCTACTGGTCGTTTAAAATGTAACCTCAAGTACTACACATGAATCCCTTCGCACAAAAAAACGAGAAAAAGTTATGATAATATTGAATTGTTGCAGTTAATGCATTGGTTGAAATCGGTTCGGCCGTGTATTCAGCTGTTTCGTCTCTCGGTCAGGGTCACGGATGAGGTTAGGAGAGTCCATTAAACGGGGGGGTGGACTGCAATTTCAAATGGCACAATCTCTCTGACCAGCGTGATATGACTTTCTGTACATCATTTGCAAGTAACATTCACATCACGGCAAAGAAACTAGTTTCCACGGAAAGGGTGCAAGGAGTGTTATTAAACACGTCTATCAACGAATCTTATACACGCCATTTCTATTCTCAATAACGTTACGATCCTGAGAAAGTTCCTTTAACGATTCTATCCCTCTGATTTGAAACACGACTCGTTTAACAATCGAAAATATCTTGTACTATTATTGTTGGTGCATCGAAGGGCCCGTTAGGCCCTCAGGAGCTTCTCTGCTGATATTAAGTTTCACTGAAATTCCCTGTAAATTTGTTTTTGAGTTTTGCCGAATGCGTGAGTTATAATTTTAATTGGCTTTAATCGCTGAACACGTACCTTCAAACTGAAAACCCTTAAGCCTCCGAGTTTTGAACCCCTGTGAGGATATCTTCGTAAGAACCAGGTCACAATCTTCACTTTGGCATTCTCACGAATTCGTCTTTAGCTCAGGATTCGGGCCACAGACACTACGTGTAGAAATATGAATCAAAGTGCGTAATGAATCGTGGTTCACTATCGGGTATGAAAGGGGCGAGGTCTCCTACACTCGATGTTGTATATACTTAAATATAAAGAACTGTGTAGAGTAAGTAAATTTTCATATCACTTGCAGAGCACTCGTCACTTATCTTGTCGCCATGACAACTAGCGGCAAAATGACGAACCACAGCATTACGTCGATGCCAGAACCGGAAGACGTCTTTCTCCTCAGGATAGCAGCCATCTTGTCACCTGAAATAACAGAAATAACAAAGAAACAGAGGGAAATAAAAGCAGTTAAGAAAGAAATCCGGGTGTCGAAGCACCCAAATTTCTTTTACTGAATATTATTCAGTTCTGGTACAACCTGGGACAAACCCAAAGCAACTGACATAAATATGTACTACTTTTACAAGTGTGCTTACAGACAATAGTAATATATATATATATATATAAACATTTTATATACAGGGTGTGCGATAATTTCAAGGTCATCGGAGAAATGTATTTACTTGGCAAAATAACGAAAAAATGTAAACAGGGAACATTTGTTGCAAATCATGTGTTTCCAATCTCAAGTATTGGACGAGCCATCAACTCTTTACATTATCAATGGTAAGAAGTGCCTGCGATGTTGCCACGTGAAAAGTGTAGTTTCTTAATTGCTCGTTCTAGGTTAAAAATATGTCCACTACCTGAGATTGAAACCACACGATTTGCAACAAAGTTTCAGTCTATATTTCAGCATATTTTGCCAAATAACATAGTTCTCCTGTGGTCAGGGACTTATACGACGCCCGGTATACAGTTTTAAAGTTTTATTAAAGAAAGTTACGTATCGCTCCTTAAAGTTCACGGGCGTTCATCGCTGAGCCAATATGTGACCCCCACACGCGGCTAATCGTCTGTGCGTACGCTACCCCACATTTCATAGCCCCTAGCACTCATTTCGGGGTAGACGGGAGATGAGCGTGGAATACAAATTAGTCCGATAGGCTCAGCGTGTCCTGGTATGAAATGGAAAGGGGATGAGCGAATTTGTAATTGGTCATTAAACACGTGTTCAAAGTGACCTGTGTCGTAATTGCTTCAGAAAGGACTACTTGGTGCTGTGTGTGATAGACGCTTTCATTATGCAGACAAACAGATTCGTAGTACAGCGGAATAATAGATATTAATTTCGTTATAATCCGCGAAAACTATCACAGGCCACAAAGGATTGGCAGGCTTCAGGCGAAAATATATTTGTTTAATGGGAAGTGGATATTATATTCCATATTATGCCGCTAAATTACAAATTTTCCTCTGCTCAGGGGAAACAAATTTACATCAGTGATAATAAAAACAGAAAAGCTTTAGATATTTCTCTGTGAGATGGGTGCTCGTTTGATGCTTTGAAGCCGAGTGGTAATTATATGTACCATTTGGCTAACAATAAAAAACTCTGCATTTTGTGTTGATATTTTTATAAGTCTCAGTCTAAAAATCGATTATTTCTTTAAATAGCGTTAACCAGTTGATGTTTGTAATGGTGAAGTGCTGTGTTTTCTTTGCGGTGCGGACTGAATTGTAAAATATTATTTAGACGAGAATCGGCTTTAAAGTGTTAACCAGTTGATCTTTGTTCTGGTGAAGAGTTGTGTTTTTTTTGCGGTACGGACTGAATTATTAAATATTATTTATACGAGAATCGGCTTTAAAGTGTTAACCAGTTGATCTTTGTTCTGGTGAAGAGTTGTGTTTTTTTTGCGGTACGGACTGAATTATTAAATATTATTTATACGAGAATCGGCTTTAAAGTGTTAACCAGTTGATCTTTGTTCTGGTGAAGAGTTGTGTTTTTTTTGCGGTACGGACTGAATTATTAAATATTATTTATACGAGAATCGGCTTTAAAGTGTTATGGTTGGATAGAGTGTCACAGAGTTACTTAACGAGAAACTTCGTGATCAGGACTTAGATGGGTCAGGGTATACAAGAAAAGTATAGATAAGCAGATAAAAGATAATATTAAAACGGATGTTAGAATAATTAGATACCTAAAATACTCCAAACTCTAAATACTCTAATGTTTTAGAAATCTTGTTTTGAACACAAGTGTTGTTTAGTAAGACTCTGACAGTTGCAAACCTCACTACAGGTTCTCGGGCGAATCATATTTCTGTCCTTACTCCTTCTAGCGTAATCCCTGCATTACACGAAGCTAAAATGGAGCTTCATAAATTTTCTGAGAACCAGCTCACGGTACAAAAAACTATCGTACATGACAGAAAACAGAAATCTCATTAAGATTTAAACTTTTAAATTGTTTTCGATATGATGAATGTTTTAGTCGAAATAGACAGAAGGGAAAATCATTTATAAATCTATGATACCAGAACCGAAATTACATCTTCAATGGTAAGAGATATGAGGTCCTTACTGCTGACAACCTACAAGCTAACACGTGACCAACATTAACACTTTCTAATACAAGATTTGTATCTGCGACAAATGAATATCAAGACAGTGACGTACGCTAAATGTTAAAGAGCGCGTTAGGAAAACAAGTGTACTCCATTTGAGTACACCTTTTCGACAGCGTATAATTGATCTTTTGAAAGGCGTACTTTTCCAAAAAACACGTCGCATCCAATAATAAAGAGCATATTTAGACCTGAGAGGGATAAAGTGACAGTGGGATAGAAATACATAATTTGTACTTTTCACCAAATATATATTAGGAAGGTTGGATGGACAGTGCATGTAGGACGCACAGATGACATGAGAAATGGTTACAAAATTTTGGTTGGGGAGGCCTGAATGAAGGAGACCATTCGAGAATCTATACGTAGATAGAAGAATAATATTTATATGTGTCTTAGGGTGAATTGAAGCCACGGTGGTCTAGCGGTTAGAACGCTGACCTTGTAATCCTGGGGTCTCGGGTTCGATTCCCGGCGGTGCCCGAATTTATAACTTGTGTTGGGCAAGGCCGTGATCTAGGCAACACGGAGTTTTCCTCCGGGGGCTTCCCCGGTTTCTCCGTGGCATCCCAACAATTACTCCATTCACACACAGAAGAAGGCAATGGCAAACCACTTCTGGATCATCTGCCAAGAACGTATATGAACAGGTCCCAGTCCGAGAAAAGGATGGAAGGATCCTGTTCATAATATGCCAACCTCCTGTAAAGCAGACGGCGTAATAAAGAAGAAGAAGGCCTGTTTGAAAGTGTTACTCTGCGCCTTATCAACTGTGGACAGAACTCGTGCAGTTTCGGAAATGATGCAGTCTGTTTGGAACACTAGATGATGGACAAAGTCCAGAAGCTAATTAATACTAATTGTAACATACCATTACCAGAACCCCTTTAGAAGATAATAAAACTTTTACCATATTACCAGTCGCCAGGTAGCGAGGGCTCTCAACAATGAAAGCTCTTGCTGAAGGACAAAGCAGAAGCACATCAACATGCATTAATGAATCTATAGAAAATTGGTGGGTTATAGTAACCATAACACCACGACTTTGTAATACTTTACCTTGGCTGATAAAAAAAATACTTCGCTCTAAATGGATTTCAGTCTGAGGGTTCCAGTTTTTGAGACTCACCATGACTACATATCAGTATGGAGAAAGACACAAAGCCCCTTACAACGCAACCAAATGTCCATTTAAGGGTGAATTGTGTGCAGGTACGAATTGAATTTATCTATAGGGAAGGGTGGCGAACTCTTGTAATAATTCCATATAAGACAGAGAATTCTTTTGACCTATTATGCTCCTTGTATTTGGACGCCTGTAACAGGCTTGTCTGATCTGAGCCTTGTATATACCTCACACAGATTACAGACGCTTCAAAGGACACTAACTTGCGATCACATCTGTGCATGCAGTGTAGGTATACTAGAGGCAATGTGACCTTTATATCGCATCGCCTGGATTTATATGACGTATATTAAATGAGGCCAGATAAATTACATTTTATTTCTTTCATAAAGGCGTCTTCGCTCAGTGGACTCCCGAGTCTACGCGAAAAACACGACTTCATTAGCACAAGAAATGACAGAACGGAGATCGGACTAGATTTCGATTTCAGAAAAGTGTTTTAAAACAAATCTTCGAATGATGATGTAAGAGGAAACATCTAAGATATTTAAAACCAACACCCCTCTCGTGTCAGTGTCGGATGCAGACCTATACAGAATGTAAAAAATATTAACGATCAAGTGTACTGAAACTAGTCTATACGCATTTCCCATATCACACATGCGTGCTACATGCATAACCTACCGTGGTACACAGTCCTTCTCAAAAAGATACTATTCGATTACGTGGTAAAGACATTTTTCAGATTTTATGAAACGCGAAGACTCATTACCGTTTGTACAAGAATCCGCCACTGGAACCAGTCCTGTACCAAATCGTTCCAAATTTGAAGTGAAGTGATTCGTGTATCAGTGACGTATCCAGATAGATATTAGGGTCTATATGAAATGGCTTCACATCTATGAATTCATTCTGAAGGATGTGATATGGAATTTATTTATAACTTGCACTAATAACATGGCAGGCAGAGATATGGCGGCCCCACTGAATTCCAGCAGCTTAGATTAGCTTTGAGCAGTATTCATGGCATTTATAATTGACGTGATCCGTGATTGAAAGTGACAGGTGCCCGTTTCATAAGGTTAATATTAATTTATGCTAGTTAGTTTAATTAAAGTCTAAAATTAGAAAATAATACAATATAGGTCGACATAAAAATACATGTATTTCAGAGAAACTTTACAAAGTCGGCTACGCAAAAAAGAGCCTGTGTTATATTACATTGGTATATTAAATTACAGCTGTTAATTGACAGTCTAATTATCCAAAAGGAGTTTATTTCCTGTTTTTCAATGTACTGGTCGGATATTCCGAACGAAACAGACCGCTCGGAACACCTACATGTAGTACGAGAGGATAATATTAAAAAATAATATTCATAAAATATATTTTGAGGGTGTTAACTGGATTCATATGGCTCCTACAGACGTGGCCACTAAAATATTTAATCACATCTTGTCCTCAGTCACGTGGTCGTTCCACATTGGACAGCAACCCGCTCCTCCCTTCGTCCAAAAACTTCCACTCACACTTCACAAATTCCCACAAATACATTCGACCTGAAGATGGCAACTGCAATGTTTGTCGAAACGACGTGAGTGGTTAGATTCACGAAAATATAACCCCGAGGTACTGTGAGCCCCAGAGTCGTTCTGGACCGT